GGGCTCTGGGCTCCATCAACACTGCTGCCCTCTCAGCCCCTCCGTCTCCACACCCTCCCCACATGGAGGCTTGACACCTTGTTTCCTCTGCCAGGAAAGCTCCTGGCAAACCACCTCCTGCCCCCTTGCCTGATTAACCTCTGTTCTCCCTTCACACCTGAACTTGGGCATTACGTACGGGCTTCAGATAGTTCTACACCCCTCACAATGGTGCTGAGCTGGGGCCTCGACAAGGATGACACTGCATTCATCAAGCGCACCGCAGCAGCGCTGACCCGAGCATGGCTGCACCCCGTAATTTCCTGACACGCCAGAAGCAACATTTCAAGGTATCCCTGGGCCACATGCCTTAGATTAAAAGAAATTGAGTATCTTCGATAGGAAAGAGTCCCGCAATTTAAAAAATGGGAAATGTCTTTGTTCTGGGGCCATCAAGAGTAGACTTATCTTTTTGCTCAACACAAAGCCTGTGGAAATAGGGTAATAATTTTAGAATCTGAAAAAATAGCACAGCAGTACTCACGTGGCAGCTGTGAATTAGTTATTAACGAGCTATTTTAGATTCTGGTCATGAATAAGTCATAATCCATTCACAGGGGGTTCTCTCGGCCACAGACGAGCAGGCACCTGGAGCCCCGCCGCCCCTCTGTGCTTTCTGAAAGGTCTATCGCCCTGAGCAGACCCAGTGTCTACGCGCTTTGTGCACGAGGACCGCTGTGGTTTCTTCGTGGGCACTTTCTGTGCTGCCCCGGTGTCCCACAGCGTAGGCACTGCCATGGAGAAAGGGAGGGTGGGCCAGGGGACGAAGGCAGCAGGTGTAGTGATCAAGTTAAGAGAGGATTCCTAGCAGGGAGGCGGTTTCCCAAGTAGGTTCATGGACTCAGAAAAGGTCGAGAGTGGAAGAAATCATCAAAATCAGCTATTCCAACACCTCTTTACTTCAAGATCAAGCAATTAAGGCCCAAAGATTTGCTAAACACAATGGGATAATAGAGACAGAACGGACAAACTCTTGAGCTGTTAGACTGTGTTTGGGGTTAAACCTGAACCCTATCTTGTCACCTAAATCATTGTACTATCTAACACATAGGGTTGTTTTAAGTGCTAAACACAATCACTTACAGTGTCTGGCATACAGTAAGCACTCAATAAATGTTAGCTATGCTATTTTTACATAAATACTGGTCAACAGTCATATAAATATACCTCCAAGTTGTTTATTTAGTCCTGCACTAGGGTATTTCCTGAACATCATCTAAGCATAGAAATGAGCTAGCAAAGAAATTCCGGTTACTGCCACAGAGGGAAACATAAAAGCAGATAGAAGCACTTTCTGCCGGCCTTTGTCTCCCATTTTCACTGGAGAGGAGCCATTCAGGGAAGTGAATAGAGAGTCAGGCAGAGCTAGGCACCCTAAGGGACAGGAAAACCTACTTCTTACTTGGAAACAATCTAGAGTACTCGACAAGAAGCTAAAAAAAGGTCCAAGGCTAATTAGGCCGTCAACTCGCCATCCAAAATGTCTGCTTTTAGGAAACGAAACCTACCGTCTCAGAAAAGGAATACTGATGTTATCCTAAATTCACAACAATCCTGGGTAAAGAAATTTTAAGTTGTAGGAGCCTACCATTTTTACTTTACATGCATTTAAGAAATTCAACTAGTGAAAAAAAACAAAAAGAAATTCAACTAGTAAGTTGAGAATCCCCAAGTTAGGGCATCAAGAAAAAGGACATCATTTCAAGAAAGCGTCAGCGTTCAACAATCACTCCAGAAATACCCTGGTGAAAAGAATGAACATCATGAAAAAGTGGAAGCAAAAAAATGTTGAAAGTAAAAGGTGCGATTATTTTTAAAGTGACAAAAAATCTTGTTTGCTCTTCACTCTTAAAGAATTAGGGTATTTTTTTTAAACTGATAAAACAGGTGTGGCTAAGAGTTTAGCCTAGGAGTCAGAATCTTGGGTTCCAATTCTGACGCGGCCCCGCTGGAGAGGCGACCTCTCTCAGCCCCACCTTGTCTCCTGTAACACGAGGAATAATAACAGCGCCTACATGACACCGTGATGGGGGGGCCGGGACGAGACAGTTCAGACAAAACACTCACAGTATGTCTGGGACACTGTGGTAAAGAGGCAACTGAGTGAAATTTGGACGCATCCAAGTGTGAAAATTTTGGGTGGAGATGTTTTGTGGGGTCCTGTTCTCTGACTGGGGGGGCAGCACACATCTTCTTTTAATAGATACGTCTCTAAAAGCTGAAAGAGGAAAACTCCAATAGAAACCTCAACAAGAAAACCATCTTGTGTTTTGCAAGATAACCACCTCACAAAGTAATCTGAATGTCTGCCAATAAGGGGTTAGCATGGCACGTTTACATTATGTGATAATTCAAAATGATAATGTAGATCTATATTTATTGACAAGGAAATATGTCTATGACAGGTTGTCAAAAAAGTATATTAAAAGCTGAATATGTAATATCTCACATTTTTGTAATATTTAAGTATATTTCATAAGTAGAGAAAAAATCTAGAAGGACATACAACTAAGTGTTAAAAGCATTTGCCTCTTAGATGGTGGATTGTGGGGGATTTTCACTTTTTTTTTTTTTGTGAGGACGATCTGGCCTGAGCTAACATCTGCCAAGCCTCCTCTGTTTTTGCTGAGCCCACTGGCCGTGGGCTAACATCCATGCCCATCTTCCTCTACTTTATATGGGAAGCCACCACAGCATGGCTTGACAAGCAGTGCGTCGGTGCGCGCCCGGGATCCGAACTGGGGAACCCTGGGCCGCCGCAGCGGAGTGCACGCACTTAACCGCTTGTGCCACTGGGCTGGCCCCGATTTTCACTTTTTAAAAATTCTATTTTAGTACTACATAAAGCTTTTTTAATGATCAATATATATTACTTTATAGTTAGAAAAAAATTATAAAGTGATTTCCCTTAAAAAAAGATAATCACTAACTATCCACTAGCAAAATGGTATCATATGTTCTAATTATATCGTTCCAGGGTAGTCTTGGGTTGCCAGAATTGTGATTAGTTTACCAGAACCAAGAAGAATTAACGGAAAGGGAATTTTTACAAAAGCAACAATTTTGTGCCCCCAGGATACGCAGAACTGAGCATGAGCACGGGAGGACCCCGCCGCACCCCACCATGCGTTACACATTCCTGTAATTCTCTGACATTATCCATCATCAAATACAAACCCATCAACAATTTTTTAGACACTGACAGCCATTTCCCTCTGAAAGAATGCACAGCCTACCATTAGGGTTGTAATAGTTTGATTAGAGAGACTGGCAATTAGACATGGAAACACGATATGCGGCTGTCTGGGAAGTCTGCAGCCACTGGGGGCCTACATGATGGATTTATTAACTGCTTTCTCTGCACTCTGATTGTCTCATACTTTAAGAGTTTCTGTTTGGCTTCTATTTAAAAACCATGCAGAGTGTCTGTACACTGGCAGGGGCTCAGCCCCTCCACATGAACATGTCTCTGCAAGAGAGCAAGTCTGTTTCAGATTGTCTAAAAGTGTCTCAAAGTGGGATGTGCGGCCAAGGTGGGCAAATGCACGAGCTGCTGTGGTCTGAAACCATCTGGAACCTTCTGGGAGTGCCGTGGGCCTCTCGGAAAACTGGGCCAGACTGCCAACGCCCCGGGACAGAGCACGGCCCGGGAGGCAGGAGCACCAGCACCCCACCTCCTGACTGGAGGGGCTGCTGTTCAGGCACGATGCCAGGACACACTGAGCTCACACTTTCTGTTTCAAGGAGAGAGTCTCAGAGTGAAGCTCCTTCTAGGGAAGGAGGAGCCACGCGGGCATGGGGCTGTGGTGGCTCTGCTTGGCCCTTCCCGCTCTCCCTGTGTCCTCCTCCTGCCCGGGGCAGCCTCCAGGATGACTGCCCTCTTATTAGCTCTGGGGATCACCCAAATAGCCTCACTTCGTAAGCTAGAGCTGAAAACATTTAGAACTAAACAGAGATGACATCTGTGAACTTCTAACAAGCTGGTCATTTACCAACATGATCCTGAGCCAACAATTTAGGGACATATAAATCTCATCACTTACTATACATATAATTCTCTACCGAGTGATATTGTCCTTTACATGGAAGAGAAGATAAGCAGGCCATAGCTGATAAGTGTTTCCATTTCTACATATGACTGTGATTACCGCAGGTTTTAATTGTCTACTGGTTGATAACTAAAAGATACGGTGACCCAAATGCCAACATGTCTTTGCACACTAATGAAATAGGAGATATTCCTTAAATCTTAGTGCTTGGTGATCGCAATCTAAACTGTATTTCCTAGGCTGAGAAAACGTGCTCACTTGCTTTAAAGATCTCTCTCTACGTGGTTTGCCAAACAGATGAACCGTTCAACTGATTTAACTGATAAGGCTTCTTTTATCCATTTTTCGGACCTGCCTAATTATAGTATAGGTTTTAAAGAAAGAAAGGTATTATTAACTGACGTTCTATACACTTTAATTTAGCCATACTTTTCCTTTATTACTTACAAAAAGTAAAATAGTCAATTGTGTCATTAGTGCTCATAGAACTAAATATTAGGCGTCTGGACTATCACTTATAGAGAAAAGAGTCTATTCTTGTGATATCATTGAAAGGGCTCTGCCCGGTCCCAGCCGTGCCATCCTTTGCAGCATTATAATTCATCGAGGCAATCCAGCAAAAACAAGTCACCTCCCCTGACTTGTCCCTCGACAAAATGGGCCCACACTGATTATTTCAGAGGAGTTTAAATAGGGAGGACATTAGAGATCTTTGAAATTATTAAAATAGTCCAACAATAGTCAACTTAGTGACTTAAATCACCGCTGCCAAGCATTTAATTTTGGTAATTACATATCCTCTGGTGATCACTAATAAAATATTTATTTTTATTGGATATTTATTTCTACAGGATAACATAGCTTGAGTACCAATATTTTAAAAAGAAGACATTCTTTGAAGAAGGCATTCACCTAGATCTTCGTTTCCTGTCACTTGTTTCCAACGGCTTCAGCATGTCCACCTAAGGCTGCCTGACCCTCTGGTCTTCCATCTAGTGGTCGCACAGCCCTAACAGCGTATTCACTTCTGTAGGAGTTTCCTTTCTGTGAGCTTCCTGTGCTGTGTAGGAGGAGGCACGTTTACGGATGACATCCCGGCTCATTCCCATAAGGTTCTTTCTACTCACAATGATTCTTTATTATGTCAGGGAACGAGAGAATCCCCAGAATCCTGCATTTCGGTTCTTTAGTAAACTGCGCATTAAGTTGCAGGGGAGGAGGAGAGCTCCCCACACGGCACTCATCCACCAGGAAGCTCGGTCATTTAAAGTGGACAAGCAACGCTGAGACCCAGGGGAAGCTGGTAGGTGGGAGAATGTACGGGGTACGCAGGGGCAGTGCGTGTTACCTCACGGCTTGTCTTTGCCACCAATTTGGATCACATTAGATAAATGACCATTAGGACGTGAACCCAGTAGAAATGAATGAAAACAAAGAAAAGGCAGAGTGCCTGCACTTCACAGATTATCAGCCAGCTGTGGGAGGAGAGCTGAAGAGGCTGGGAAACATGAACAATTACTGCATCTGATACTCACTGCAATTTTTCAAAGAAAGCAGTTCAGAATTTCTTATTCTCACTGTCCTTCAGTTGTCACTACTGTTCACTGGCACTTCTGTCACTTTTTCCATTTGTCCATGGCTTTGTTTTGCTTTCCTCTTGTATTGGACCTCATGCTCCCACAACAGGACTGATTATAACCCTTGGTTCATGAAACACTCTTTCGGGGCCCACTTTTATTTAGACACTTTTAATAATAAGCACCCGATGTAGCCACATTTTTGGAACTTAGCAATTTTGGTTTAGAATGCCCAGATTTTCCATTTGAAGACCAAAATTCTTAGGTTGGTTGTTTCAGCTTTTTCTGGTTGATCCAACTCTGGTTAAGTCGATTGGTCAGATGGGAGCCTGCAGAATCTGTTTCTCCTTCCAGTTTTCATAACGGGCAGGATGGTCACCTCAGGTCATACGGGGCACACACTCTTCCTGCTGGGTGTGGGAGAGTGTGAAGTAGCTCCGAGTTCAGTGAAATAGCTGCTATACGCACGCCCCGTGATGCTTTTCTGCTGGCTCTACCCTGCTTCTTGAGGGTGTCACCAGTGCAATTTAAAGTGCGCCAACGGTGATGGCGTGGGATGATAATCCGTCCTGTCTCTCCCAGCTCTGCCCTAACGTGGCCTCTGGGTCAGTCTAACGTGTCTTGGCAAGAAAATACTCAGAGGCATTTTTTAATTGTGAAAAGCTTAAAGTTGTTCATAAAAATACTAATTATGGCTATTATTTACCAAGTGTCTATGTGCCAGGCTCATAGCTAATCACTTAATTCTTAAAATAATCATGCAAGATAGGTATGATCACACCCATTTTTTAAGGAACTAAGGCTCAGAGGAGTAAGACACTTGCTGAAGTTTACAAGCACTAAACCCATGAGCTAAACGCAAACCTGTTTCCAAAGGCTGGTGCCTTCTCTGTCTCAGGCCTTCCTAAAGTGTTCTTCTCCAATTCCAAACGTGTGGTATTTGGAACCAGACGGTCTCATGCCAGCTCTGGGAGAAGGGTGTCAGTTCTGGTTGTTCTCTGTGTATTCTATCCCTGTGTGGCCCTTACAGAATGGAGCAGTAATGATGAGGCTGGCGATGACAACAGTTGCCAGTTACCTAGCGTCCTGTGTGCCTTATCTCGTCAAATCCTCACAACAGCTCTGTGAGATAGGTACCTACCACTTCCCAACTGTATCTGCTGGGAAACTGAGGCACGGAGAGCTGACATTACTTGCCTTATTGAGATCGCACACCAACTTGGCATTTTCCTGGTGCTTTGTAGCTCCCTCTTTCCTTTTCAGGGAGGGAGAAACTGTGCTAACACAGGCCTACATTTTTAGTCAGAAAAGATCTAACCCTTGGCTCAGAATTTCCTTTAGCTGAATCTTAAGGCATCCAATGACAAGATTTTACCAAGGTGTGACCTTCTCCATTGGGCACAGTCCAGATGAAAGTGGATTGTAGACGGACTGTACTCATCTGTGAGGTACAGACACGCAGCGGGGTGGGGATTAACCCCCCAGCTCTGGATCCAGACTGCGATGGTGTGAATCCCAGCCCTGCACTTATTAACTATGCAGCTTTGGGCAAGTTACATGTTAACTCCCTGTGCCTCACTTTCCATAGCTGCAAAGTGGGAAACAGTACCTACTTTATTAGGGTTGTTATGAAGATTAAATGAGTTTATCTAAAGAGGCGCTATCCGATAGAACTTATCGCAATGACGGAAATATTCTGTTCTCTGCTGTCCAATAAAGCAGCCACCAGCCACACGAGCCAGGCGCAGTGAGCGCTTGAAATGCAGTCGGTGTGTCTGAGAAATCGAATTTTTCATTTTATTTATTTTAATTTGAATTAATGAAAATTTAAATAGCCCCCTGTGGCTAGGAGCTACCATACTGGGTCGCGCAGATTTAAAGCATTCAGAAGCGTGCCTAGAACTACGAGTTTGCTATGATTACTCCACTATGGAGAGTCATCCAAACGTGTTTCCTTGGCCCTCAAATAGACCATTACGGAGTCTGCTGTGGCCGCTCACACTTCGCACTGCAAGAATAATTTAACATTTTATTCTAATTGCCATGATCATCCCACTATCCCATTTGACGTCTTCACAGCAGTTATCACTATCTAAACTTCGGTCACTCACTCACCATTCTTACATTACTAGAATGGAAACTTTGTGAGCACGACGGCTTTTCTCTCTGCTCCCTGCTGTATCACCAGCACCTAGAGTAGAACGATGGAGACCTCCCTCTAGCAATCTGAGCGGGCACTTTAAGGACGGGTTCTCTCTAGTGGAGAATTAGTGGTGATCTCACCCATCTCCGGTCTGACGTCCTCCCTCCCCATTAGCTAGAGTATTCTGTCTTAGTGAGCTGGGAGGACTTGGGAATATTTCTCGGATTGGCATGAAAATAAGGTAGAGGAGAGAAGGACAGCTAGTTAATTAGTGCCTTTGGGGAGTTTCAAATAAAAAAACCAAAAATCTACCAGGCTGCATAAAGTGGAATGAAGTTTAATTTCAGAGGTAAGGAAAGTGTGGCTTGTTCAGGACATTCTCTAGAGTCTGTGACTACAGGATCTTATTGGGTACAGCTTATTTACACCCAGAAGAGTGATTTCTGTTATGAGCCAGTCATGTCACTCCTTAGTGCCGACACTGGCATGGCATCAAACTGGAGGCTGTGGCTGTGCCACGTGCGGGTTAAGGGCTCAGTTCATGCTTTACGAACTTTTCAGTGGAATCAGAAACTCAGAAATTCAGAAAATGCTCATGCCAGGCTTTGATGATGCTTTTCCTGGTTTGTGACAAAATGAGAAAAAGGCGGACAATGTGAGTTTTCCGTAAAGCTAACTTTATTCAATTCAGAGGACAATTCTTTATTTTCATTTTAGAATTTTCCAATTAAAAAATGCACTGTTCCATGAATTCTAAAAGCCGAGGAACCACTCCAATCACCAAGGGGTTATGGTGATTGCCAGGAGCTTAACACTGTCATTAATTTTTTAAATTTATCTTTTGAAGTTTACAAGGCCTATTATAATAGGCAATCAATGCTCCTTTTAAACATGCACCTAGAGGTTAAAGATCAAGCCAGCATACATTGTGTCCTCAGTCCTCTGCCCACCATTTACTGGGGATATGAGGCTCAGTGACTAAAGTACCAAGAAAACAAAGTATAACTGAATCCTCCTGAGGTCAATACCAAGTGCAGGGGCCAGGGAAGGGCAGGCCAGGAAGCTTCGCCACCACAGCACCTGAAGCTCCTTCCTATTCATCTGCCTGTCTCCCAGACCAGGCTGTGAAAATCCCCGGCAGGCAGGGACTGTGTCCCAATCCCCTCAGCATTCCCGGGACCTGACACACTGCAGGCACATGGGGGTACCTAACGGATGCTGAGGGGATGAGAGCTGCAGGGACCAAGACGGTTTTGTTCTGAAGAGGCTGGGCCTAGAGCTGAGCCTCAGGGGTGGGCAGGGTGGACACAGGAGGCGGCGTTTCTGGTGCCGTAAACGTGAAGTAACAGTGAGACCATTAAATGGTCCAACACGGAAAGAACATTCTGGGGAGTGGTGGGAAATAAGATTAGATAGGAAAGCTAGGGTCAGAGTCAAGTTGCTTATTGAAAGCCGCTCAGAAAAGTTGAGATGGAAGAGACAGAAATGGGGAAAAGCTGAGTTTTTACCCAACAGAGGCAAACCTCTCCTAGAGGGAATTAGTCTGGCGGGGACGACGCAGGGAGAAGGGAAGTGCAGCGGCAACACAGCCCTCAGCTCCAGGGAGGCAGGAGAAACAGAATCACCTCAGAGCGAGGGCCTACACGCCTGCGCCAGGCTGTGCACTTTACACACTCCAAGGAGCAGACGCTGTTATCCTTATTTTACACACGAACTAGAGGGTTAGACTTAGAGGGTTCGACTTCCCTAAAGTCACAGCCAGCAAGTGGCAGGGCCGGGCTGCCTCCCAAACCAGGCTGACCCCAGGTCCACCCTACCACGTAATCTACTGTTCTCCCCAGTCGAGAGAGGCTGCAGTCACTGATGCTCAAAAGCGCACACTGCAGAGGCAGAACGGCATTGGCCCCGCATTCCATTTGTTGCAAGTCCTCTTCTGCCCTTTTCTTTTCCCAGATTTTAAGTTTTAAGCTTCTCGGGTCTATTTTATTTTATTTTTTTGCTTGGTGCTAACTAGTAGAATTCCAGTGCTTATTCTTGAGGATGCTGCTTGTGAAAAACCATCTCAGAATAAGAAAGTGTTTCTTTGCTCCTGAAGCTGCAGAGAAGCAGGCTCTTCTGCGTCAAGCTGGTTCTGTGAAAACAAGGCTGTTCTCTGTGGAAAGCTGTGTACAAATGGATATTTCTGTTCTGTGGACTTGAGAGATTGTTGCCGATTCCTTTAAACAGTAACTTTTTTTTTTTTTTTAAAGATTTTATTTATTTATTTTTCCCCCCAAAGCCCCAGTAGATAGTTGTGTGT